GGGACAGTACCCTTCAAACTCGGCATAGTCCCGCTACTTTCCATAGGCACCACCAAGGGTTTCAATGCAATTTAGAAACTCTGCTCTCTCAGAGTTAACTATTATTGAGGCAGAAAATTCCCAAACTAAATAAGCAACTATTCATATATACTAATTTTGAATGTATGAGTAACAGGCAAACAAAACCCCCAAAGGAAAATCAGGATTGCAGGTTTAGCAAAAAGCATAGTTTTACTTTCATATCTGCAGTTTCCACTAATCATAGGAAAAATTGCAGTATTACCCATCCCACAGTTTTCCATCAGTGGCGTAATACCACTTGCGTGTGCCAGCATGGGCAGTCAGAAGCCTGCAGAGTCTGAGTGAGGCAGCTTGGAGGCAGTAGTTACAGCCATGGGCTGGACTTGGTTTGTCCCCCCTTGCCCGCATGTTTAGGGAGAGGATGATACTTAGGACAGGTGTCTCACAAAGTTTCATGAAAGGCTCCTGCAGAAGGTGCAGAGGTGCTGCCGGTGGTTCCCTCTCGGCAAGGCAGGGCAGGGCAGGGCAGGGCAGTCCCATCGTACTGAGCCAGACAGGTCAACAGTGAGGTATCCTGCGGCAAAAGATGCAAGGTACTGATACCTGCTGTGAGTTCAACTGCATCTCATCTTCCTGGCTAGCCTGAGAACAGCAGAGGATCGGTAATCTCCAGCATTTAGCACAATGCTTTCCTCAGTGCAGCAATACAACAGCCAAAGTCAAAAAAGCCCATAATGGGCTGCTGGCCAGATAGGCCAGCACGGGCTGGAAGGGGCAGAAGTATGACACCGCCTCACCTAACACCCTTCAGAAGCGTGGCAAAACTGATTCTGAAAAAGGCTACAAAGCCCCAGACTTTTTACCAACCTGTACCACAGATCAACTCCAACAGCGATACAACACCAAGGAAATCCCTTGCCAAGTGCCGCAAACAATGTCAAGCAAGGATGGCAAACGTGCCCGCAGACACGCAGGGGCCAGGACACAGGGTATCCACTGTAGCACAGCCCTGCATGTGAGGTGTACAGAACAAATAAAGAATGCTGTTTTGACTAATAAAGTTTACAGTAAGCATTTTCTGGATAGGTTTGTCAGCAGTCATAATAAACAGGGTAAATACCACACAAGCCTGCAGTAATGGTTTCTCCCACAGTTTGCAGTAAGTTCAGGTTTTTACTTAGAGAGTACAGTAATGCTTACACAATAAAAAAGAAAGGTGAAGGACAAGGTAAATGTAGCATTCATAAGAGTGGCAAAATTAAGAGATGTCTTTCTGTACTTTAAAATTTATTTTACATTTTTATTTCTCTTCTCAAGTCTAAAGGAGCCTCCAGCAAAAGCCCAGGTCTGAATTATTTAGGATTTGCTGTATGAAATGTGTGTATGATCGGAGAATATTTGAACTTCAGTGGGATTTTGAGCACCAGCACTTCTGCAAAATCAAGTCAATACATGATGTTGATAGCTACATTTGAATGCCTGAAATTTGAAGGAAACATTTGCAGCAGACATAAGACAGTGCCATCTCTGTGAACCTGGCACAGCATGAGCCCATAAGAGTGTCAACAATCCCCTTAATGGTGTCTGTTAGTGCTGGAGGGTGTCGGACCGAGTCCACTTTGCACAGGAAGGTGTGTGCAAAAATGGCTCTTGATGCAGTGTTAAGGTAATGTATTGCTTATATTAAGACAAATAAATAACACAGCCTGTAAGCTGCTTTCTCTTGTATCTTAGAGGCATTTTAACCCTGTTCAGTCAAGATATCTGAGATACGATAACGCGTGCTTTAAGGAACAGATGCAGAGAAATATTTTCTGAAAGCATTCAGACATCGGAGACTGATTTTAAATTCGTGAAGCTACTTTTCTATCTGAGCTTTTACTCACACAAGTCAATGTGTACTACCCATCCTCCCAAGGCCAAAAAAACACATTCCGAGCACATTCTTGGATGAAGAGAGTGGGTATAATTAGGCAATAACATAATCTAACTTTGAGAAACAGTGGAATCCTCCCCCGTGTAACCAGCACAAGCAAAAGGGCCGGGATGTTTGGGGTGTGCGCAGGGTGTCGCCCGTGTCCCCTCCGCGTCCCCCCACCCCGCGTGGGAGCTGTCCTTGGTACGCGGGAGGTGCAGCCCTGCGGGGGCTGAACCCGCACTCAAGCTTAACCCTGCGGCACAGCTAATGCCGCTTTTAGCGGGATTAACAGCCGTAAGAGGTGGCGATGAGAGTCCCAGCCCTTGGCATGTCTGCGTCCACTGTTAATGTCAAGGAAGAGGCATGGGAAGGGAACAGAGGCAACAGAACTGAGGAGCTAAAGCCCCCTAAGGGATCTGAGACAGGCTTATGGATGCAGAATCTCTCACCGGACATGCCCGTGAATTCTGACGCATGCCAACACTGGCTTATTCAAACAGGCTGAATCCACTTCCTTTGGAGTATGGGCAAAAAAATGCCTCCTTGCTCCTGGACAACTCCACGCAGTAAGGTGCAACATGCTGCTATAGCAGACCCAGAGGCAATGAGAGGGGACCACTTTAAATGCTCTCCTACTTTCTTAATCAGAGCAGCACTTGACTTTCTCTAGAGGAAAAAGATTTTAAGCAATGTCTACAATTTGTTCAAGCACTAACATCCTGTACCCAGGCAGAGCACTTCTCAAGAATATGTTACCAAGACACAGAGAACCCAAGAGAGACAATACACGCATCTGTCACCACCACAGGAGGTCGGAAATCAGGCAGGGCAGATGATGGCAGAGCCTGCATTTTAAAAAAAAGGATATGGGTTGCTGAAGAAAGCATGAATATTTTTCAATAAAAGGATAAAATTTTCAGTTTTCCTTCAAGAAGCAAAATCTCCAAAAGGATATGGATATAGTGGGCAAACAGCAACTTGTGTCACAGTTCTGTGTAAAAGAAAGGATTCAGAACCACAGGTGGTGAGGAAGAATGAGGACGGGAAATCAAATAAACTACCAAAGAATCAGAAGAAGAGGAAAAATAGAATAGCAAAAGATAACCCTTTTAAAAAAAAAAAAAAAAAAAAAAAAAAAAAAAGAAGAGTAACTGATCTGCCAGGGAATACAAAATCACAGTGCTCTCTCAGGGCCTAAAGTTTTTGAGAGGATTTGGAGGTTGCAGTGTGCACACTATCTTGTACGTGCTGCCTGCTAAAAATGGGAAGACCACCACAAATGCCTACTCTGTGGCTACTGTAGTGCCTAAAAACCACACCGGGCTTTGGTGCCAACAGCACAGCCACACCTGGAATGGCAAAATGCAAATGGACCATCAAAGATGGGTCACTACATGCTGCTTGCCTGTCTTACCTTTGTTACACACTCTCTTTATTATTCACAGATGAATGCATTCAGAAGAATGGAATTTGAAAGTTATACTCAAACCTTGGGATAGGTATGGCAAAAAGCATGTATCACTCCTCCAGGAATACCTAGTAATGCTAAACACTGTTTTTCATGCCTTTTCTCAGTACTGTTTTACTTGATTCTAGTAGACAGATCAGCAGCTGTAACAGTTTACTCTATAGCATATAGATTGAAAAATTCCAGTAAGGAACTGCTGGTTATCAATATTTGCAAGGGCTTCAATTTCAATGTATTAATTTTTTTCATTAATTGTATTATTTTTTCATTAATATTTTGTAATATATTGTACTAGTTCTATATTACTTTTAAATCACCACCAAAGGTGACAACTTTAATTAGATTTTCTAAACATAGAGAAGATGGAGGCAGTTAGGAGCCAAGCACATTATGTCTTTTCCAGGTGATCAATCTGATTCAATCTATACCAGCAAATGGAACAATATTTTATACATAACTCATCACTCACACAACTACTGAAGTATGGCACATGCACTGTTTTACCCTCAGTGAACTCTACTCGTATGTGTAATTATTCAGGGAGTACTGACAGGGTGAAACTCCTGTGAAGAATGAAATCATCTCCTGAGTGAAGCTGGTATTTTCTCTTACTGTAGAACATGACTATTTGACAGGTCACATGCTTTGGAGTTTATACAAGTGAAGGCTGGCCTGAGTCTGTGAAAGGCAGCAGAACCTTCCTGTGATCCTGTGCAAAAATCTCAAAAACTCCACACCAAAACAAAGAGTTGCCACAGAACTACGTACAGCTCTTTCACTTTCTCCCCTCTGGTAGCTGCAGCTGTGCGCACATTAAAAGGATCCTATTTCAGCATCACATCTAAGTCTTTCTGGAAAGGACTGAGAGTGAGAGAACAAAAAGTCAGTGGGCTTTGCAAGTAGGAGGAGGGGAAACTACCAGTGAAAGTGTTGGGGAACAACTGCTCCTAGGGGCACAAGTATCAGTCTGAAGAGGGTCACAGAACAGAGCTTAGAGCTGTTGGACTGGCATCAAAGAACTGCTGACGCAGAAATGACGGAGCCCTGATGTGATGTCTGTACCTCCCGAATCCACAAGAAAAGATTCCAAAGTCATAATTCTCCAGGTGTAAATTTTTGTATTGTGTTTCAGTGTAACCTTCAAAGACACTGAAACAAACTATATTTTGTAGGAAAACCAACACATTTCCATGTTTCTCCTAAATCCTTTATTTGTCCATATAGATGATCATTAGCACTTAAGAGTCAAAAAGAGCACCATGTTAGTCTTCAGAGCCAACACAGCCCATTCTTTTTATGTTTATTTTACACACTTTTTCCTCAGCACCTGAAAGTGAAATATATGCATATTCAGAATGTCTAACAGTTGAGAACTAAACCTTATCACAAGAACAGGATAAAGTAGGTAGACGCAGAGGCAGCATCTCTGGAGTCCTTTGTACAACTGAAACTGTTAGATAGGTGAAGAATGTATTTTCTTTTAGAATTAACCCTTTACATACATTAAGCAGGAGATCTATTCGGACTATTGAAATTAATAATTCAGGGAGTATTAAACTGTGAGTCTTAGTTTGTGTGCTGTATCTTTTTAAAACAAACCTAGTAAACAGTTGACTTTAGTAGCCTGAAGTATTCTTAGCCACTGCTAAGAGTACACTGATGGTAGATCATACAAGCTGTCACCTGAATACCCAAGCATATGAAGTAATGCACATGGCTTAAATGCCTATAAGCAGTTAGAAAAAACAAGCAGCAGTTATACATACTAAAAAGTTCAAGGGGACACCACAACAGGACTGTCATGGCACACACTTAGAGACACTGAAGGCCTGGCATTATATTACAGAGATGGACTGAAATGTCATTCATCTCAGAACTGTAAAAACAAACCTCTTTAATCCCCTTATCCTGAGGAGTGTTTGAATTGCTGCAGGCTGAACATAAATTTCTCTTAGAGCTGTAAAATCACCACAATTCCTATATTTTGCAACATTAGATGTTGAAAAAGGAAGCATCATCTTTTGCCTTATCTGTGGTTAAGTGGTACACTTTCAAGGGCAGCTTTTATGAATCACCTGTATCTATGAACAACAAAAGTAAAAGGATTGTGATAGTGTAGAAAACATTCTTTGCAATAGTTTAAGTGCAGAAGGAAAATCATGTATTTGCCTCATTAGGATAAGCATTCCAGCTGTACATTTTTCTAAAGCAAGAATTTATTCCTTCAAGTTATTTTTCACATTGGACAAAAGAACTCAGTACAGGGGGGTTTTGGGGAGAAAAATGTTAACAGTTGCAATGAAGTATTATCTAAACTGGTATTTCATTCTTGCATCTGCTAAAATACATCTGTTTCTCTCAAAGTAATATTAATCAATTAGCAAAAGAAAATGGACACCAAAGTGTTTGGTAGCTTGAGGTACTGTGTTATCTCACCGACTGCAAACAAGTCACTCCCCGAAACACACAAACTTCTATCACAAGAAACTTCTATCTCTTCTCTTTACCCACTGCACCCTTTATTACATTGAAGTACTGACAAAAGTGCAACTTACTGCATCGCATGTTCAAACATACTCAGAATATGTTTGCAGCATGCAGCCAAGAGTCAGCAGTAGCTGCCTGCAAGCAATTTACTATGAACTCAAACATGTTCTCTACATCTAGTACATGCTGACATCCCTAAAACAGTTATTCCAGAAAATTCTGAAATACGGTCTGTATAAGCTTGTGGAGTAACATGGTTTGTCAAGGATGCTGCTGATACTGTCAGTATCCTTCAAGGCAAAGGGCTAGAAAGCTGTGTTGTGAATTGTAGCTTGTAATTGCAAATAATAGTGTTGGGTTGTGGTTTTTTTTAATTTAAGAAATGTTTTAAACACAAACCCAAATTAAACAACATATTTCAGATACCTGCTGCATCTCCACTCCTCACCTAGCACTAGACATGATATTTAGTCTTGCCTAACCAAACTACTGCTTCCTCTTGCATGCCCATCCCAGCTGATCCAGTTCTGTTTGTCACTTACCAATAGAGATTCCCTGGGAGGCTGTAGGTTTGAACCTGAAAGCATCTCACAGGAGCACAAATACAAGGATGGAAAGAGTATGCTGCAAAAAGGATAATGCCATACAGAAAAATGACAGGATAGGTTTGCATCCTCTAAGAGTCTAAACCCAGTAAAGTGTAGAGCATTCCTTCATTTGCAGACAGTCAGTAAGTGATTCACCTCAGATTCCTACTAGAAGCCCATGACAATTAGTCACAAGCCATTTTCACCCTGCATGTGGCACAGATTTCTGTATCTACTAGCACCAGTGAGATTAGTTTTGACACAAATTAGGGTGACAAAGTTTGTTAGCCTTGATGTAAATTTTGATATAAGTTGTTAGCCTTGATGTAAATTTTGATATGTCACATATTTTTCACTTTTGTTTAAGAAAGCAGCAAGTTACGAGCAGTCATTTTAGCACTCAGTTTGCTAAAAATCTCCAGAAATATCAGAAAACATTCTGCTGTAAAAAAGATTGTTCGCTGTCATAAAACAAAGATGAAGAAAACTATTCTGAGACATGTTCAAATCATGTCAGCTTTACTAGCAAACATAACAATGTAAGAAATTAACTATAAAAACATAAAGATGCATATTTTCTTTGCCATAAATTGTGACATACTCTTCAGTGACTGTAGGTGCTCTGATTATTCAACTTAGTCTCTTAAGATATACTTCCTCTTTGAGCTGAAGAGCAAATATTAAATCACTTTGTTTCCTGTAAAGCACAATACTGTAAATGGATAATAGTAAAGAATATTAAATAGAAACGTTAGATAATAAATTTATTACTGCAAGATAACAAAACTAGATTTCCTTTCAAAAATTATTTTTATGACCTATCAGTACAGTAGACTTAGCAGGAGAATCCAGCTTGTTTTTACATGTATCTGTTTCGAATGTACTCTCTGTACATGAGGAAGTCATCCTTTCCCAGGGGCTGCATGTTTCCTCTTCCAGCTTGAATATGTGCATGAAAAATCTCTGTTGATTTCCTATCAGCTCTTGGAGGCTGGACTTCGTAAATATTGTCTTGAGAAAAGGAAGAGATGGGTATTCTGGAAAAAAAAACCAAACATGCAGAATATTTAAAATTTTAGATAAAAATTTTCCATACAGAGATAGAAGTGTTTCTTTTACTTGAAATATATATGAGGGTCAATGAAAGGGCAGCTTCCCACGAGATAATTCATTTACCCAGATTTTATCACTACTGCAGACCTGACAAGACTCAGCTTTCCAAGTAGGGTAATTAGGTAAGTTGTCACTAACCACATCCCAGAGTACTTTCTCACTTGCCTCTGCTCTGCCCTCATTTCTTCATCCTTCCTTAGATCTGCTATGGTCAGTAAGTCTCCAATCTAAAACAGATCTGTGCCAGGCATTATAGCAGATAATAGAAAAACTTTATTGAGCTCTTCACTTAGTAGCAATTACAACAAGCAAGTGATTATACTCTGAACCAACATATAGAAAGGATTTATCAGATAAGAAATTTCCATCTAATTATCAGGAAACAGAAAACTTATTACCAGCAACAGCACTCTGTATATTGGGACTGCTGATACTTTATGAAAATAATTTTAAAACTAGCTTAATACAATAAATACTATCTTTGAACCATAATATTTAAACCTATTCATGAAAAATACATCAAGTTTGACAGTTTACAAGAACCCAAGTTTGTCAGACCTTTTCTAAGCACTACTGTCAATCAGACTCACTCCTAAGGTAGAAGCTGGTCTTTTAACTGTAACTCTGCACAGCCAGCAGGTCAAGGAAAGTGATTGTTCCCCACTGTTCAGGGTTTGAGAGACCATATCTGGAGCACTGTGACTATTATTGGGCTCTCCAGTACAAGAAAAACAATGAAATATTCGGATGAGTCCAGCAAATGTCACCAAGATGATTAGAGAGCTAGAGCACGTGGCACACGAAGAGAGCCTCCAAGTGCTGGGTTTGTCCAGCCCAGAGAAGAGAAGCTAAAGGGGACCTTACTGCTGTCTGCAGCTACCTAATGGGAGAGTGTCTGTGTGGAGCTTGGGGTATGAGATGAAAAGGTAAATTTCAAAAAGGGAATGCAAATTGCAACATGGGATATTCTGATTAGATACAAGGCAACTTTTTTTCCATTGTGAGGGTCGTCAATCACTTCAATCACTGCTGTGGCTCAGAGAGGAACCTCTCTTCCTAAGGATATGCAACAGTCAAGTGTATGTAGCCCTGAGCAACCTCATCTAATTTGGTCTTCCTCTGAGCAGGGGACTGGATCAGATGACCTCCACGGTCCTTTCCAGTTTTTACTATTCTACAGTTCTAAGCCAAACTCTTCAGTAGCAATGTGTTCTCCACAACCAACTGCAGGGTAGCAACAAAACTACACTCCATATATAATACATGAATAAACACTAAAATTATCTGTGTAGTAAGTAATTTTCCTTTTAAAGCACTTCAGCTATTGTGAAAGTTGTATTCATAAATACACCATGTACATTTCCCAGCAATATTTTAGTAATTTATTTATGAAATACTCCCAGAGTTGAACAGTACAGATATTTCACCTGTGTGATAGCAGATCAGTTTGGATTCCACAACAGAACATTCAATGACTAATACCCTGCCATCTGAAGGTAACCTATGCATTAAGTTTTCTGTCAATACTATTCGATTTAGAGGCAGTCAAAATTTGAAATTAACTCCAAGAAAAAAAACCCAACAACTGACAGAACTATCATTATCTAGAACAGTGGATGCAATGCACCTATAAATGCTAAACAGGAAAAAACTATTTCTCAGTTATGAAAAAAAATTACATGTTTTAAAGAGTTATCTCTATCATAAATTTCATACATTTTTAGCTCATATTTCAGCTGGAGAAACTCATTTACTTTCTAGGTAGTATTAAAATACTGCTGCTTTATAGTCTCTATAAGCAAAGGTGCCCAGGTATTCAGTACAACACAAAGATTTCAATTCTGGAAGACTCATTTTCATACCACCACATACACTGAACACTTTTTTTACATCAGATCATTACTTATAGGTGGACCCAAAATTTCATGGGGCTCAGTAGCCTGTCTCATTGAGTGACCTTCAGCAATGTTTGAGGACAGATTATTAAAACAGAACAGGTACTGAACAATCCCTTCTCCAGTATATCCTCCTAGATTTCAGTAACCAGGATTTAGGATCTACCCAAAGCAAAATTTGAAACTGGACTACTGTTTCATGAAAAGTGATTTCCATAGGTCTTCATTAGTTTTTCTAATGCCTCTTAGACTTACAGAATTCTGTGGTAATGAGTTCCATTACTTAATTGTGTCCGACGTAACACTCCATTTATTACCATGGGCCTTGGTTGCTTGTAATTCTTACACTGGGAACAATGGTGACCAGCTCTTCTCTGTTTGCCTCCTCCACATCACTATCAGACAAACAAGTGTATTTCATCTTTCCTCATACACAAGTTGTTTTCTGATCAACCTTGTCCCCTTGCCATTAATGCAGAATTCCAAGGTCTACTCCATCCTCTTTGATAATGCAGTAAGGACCAAAACTGCATTTAATACCTGAGACTTTTTTAACTAGCTTTTCATTTGTCATCTACTATTTTAGCTAATGAAGACACATTTTCTAATTTCTTTACATAATAGCACACTGGAATAGTAGACAGTGCCAATGGTTGAAAAAGAGTCAGAATGCTATTCTTAAATATTGTGTTAGCATATGCAGATAATTTTGGGCACAAAACTTCTCAGGTAAGAAATAACAGCAGCAACTTACTGTCAAAGCTCACTATTTCCAAAAGTGAACACTGACCAGCCTAGATGCAATGAAGATTCAGATCGTAGCATCACTGCCATATTCCACTGGAGCCACAGTCATGACACACCATCTGAGTGCTCTTCAAGAGACAAGAAGTTATTTTTATGTGTATAATACCCTCTTCTAAAGGGAAAAAAAACCAAGGAAGAACTGGAATACTCAATGGCCGAGCCCTTCTATAAATGAAATGCAGTAATAATCTTCTAGTTGCATTATGAGCACAAACTAATGTTTGACACAGTTTCTAAATTAGGATCTTTATTAAAACTGCCAAAAAAACCTCATTCCCTTATTTTGTAGCCTTTTATTTTATTAAAATACGCTGGATTTTGGATGTTTCATCACATGATTGTTCCTAAGTCTTATAAAATGACTGCAGTATGTCAGGTAGTATAGTATGCCTAATATTCCACTACAACTAGAATATAGCATATAAAATAAAAAGTTTTCCGTATTAAAGTAATATTTTTCAATTTCATATTTAGATTTGTATTTTTCCATTTTACATAGCAATACATTCAGTTGATTATACTTTGACTGCAATGACAGCATTACTTATACAGGTCTACTATTGAATTTGAGACAGTCAAATCACTGGTAAACACAGAATTTGCCTGCATTCTTAAAACCAAGTTATATTTTACCAGGATGTAGTCAGAATTTGCTAGGTTATGTCACAGAAACATTTAACCATTCTAGAACTGGAGAAAAAAGTAAAGCTAAAGAGTTTGCAAAAAAATGAAACCTTACTGCATGGAATATATTTTTATTTTCCCTTATTTTAGATTGCATTACAGTTCCTGTTTAGACTTTTTAGTCTTAGATTTCTGTGGCACTACAGTGGAATGTAAACAAATACTAAAAATGTGAGCAAGTTACCTGCCTGTATGATTAGGATAAAATTTCCAAAAATGCTTGCCAATTTTATGCTTTTCTTAAACAAAACAAAACTCTTATTTCAAAAGAGTTGAAGCTCTTCTGCAGAACCCAACCTCTGCTATTATGCTCTCACTAAATCAGTGTTTTATTTTAGTTGCTGTTGGTACACTGTACGAATAATACTATGGAAATTCTATCATACTTAACCTTTCCTTTCTGTGGTTTTTTTTTTTTTTTTTTTTTTTTTTTTCCCCAGCAGAGTGGTAGTTTCTTCTCATTATCACTTCTAGTTTATTATAAACGTTAAGGTGGGTGTTTTCAGAACCAGTACCAAACATTGGTCTAACTTTTTATCTACATGCTTTAAAAGTAGATGTCTTTCCAAAGCACCCATAGCTTCTGCAGATACTTATTATCTAGTTCAAAGCATTCAAGCTGAGACTAGCACGGGTATTTGACACCAGCACACTGTACTAACTTACCAGTATCACTATGTAACACCAAAAGACATCACTTACTCAAATGCAGCTGGCCTGTTTAGTCCACCAGCAAGTGAATAATTAAATAGAAGAACAAAACAAAGCCCTACACTAATTAGATGCCTTCTCTATTTATTTCTTTGTTTCTAAAGACATGACATTTCTGAAGCACTGAGTCAAAAGTTATTTCCTTAGGCACAATGGAAGCTGGACAGCAAAGTGTATTTCACTTTGAGTATTTAGTAGCCATCTCTATTTTCCACCTACTTGCTTCAACATGATAAAAATATATTGAAAGAACCGCATGTTCATGCATGCCAATTCTGATTAATAACCCTGTATTAAGCTGTAACTATTTGTAGAGTGCTTGTATTATCCAGTCATTTAATTAAACTCATTTCTCTAACACTATTCATGTAAAAATCTAATCTACTTAATAAGTTTAATATCTTACAATAGAGTCATGAAGGAGAGCACATTATTTATGACTTGGCTATCAGATCTCCCTAGAGACCTGTAGCTCTATAGTGTCCCAATCAAAATTACATAGATAGGAGCATAAACACGATGCACCCTTGACATGCAAAGTGCAATTGGTTTCATCCCACTTGTGAGCAGGCTTCATGGTGTTAGTTTCAACACAAGTAACATTGTCTCTACAGTAAAAGATGATACAGCTAAAATCTTCTGTTACTATGAGGATGTTCCATATTTTGAAGGAAAAGTGCACGGTGATGTGCTTAGCTCTCAGAAATATAGCAGTCACAAGAAAGCCACAACATTTGTTTCAACATTGATCAGTTCTGTTCAGGTCTGTAATGTATATCTAAAACGGGAGACAAAATGTACTCTGCTGCCTTGTTTGAATCCTAAGCA